AATTTCAAGAGTCTATTATTCATTGTGATTGTGTAATAAATGGAAATATTATTAATAGAATTCATGTTGGATGGTTGAAATGGAGGAATACATTGAGCTTATTGTATGATAGATAACTTCCCCTCAAACTTAAGAAAAAAATTCTAAAAAATGGTGATGAGACATGCAATGCTTTATGGTGTAGAATATTGGCCAATAAAAGAGAAGCATAATATTAAGTTAAGTGTTGCAGAGATGACGATGTTGTATAAAATAATCATTGCTTGTAAAATAGTTAGTAGAATTCGTGTTGAATGGTTAAAATGGAGGATAATGTATCAAGCTTATTGGGCGATAGTTAAATTCCCCTCAAACTTAAGGAAAATTTCTAAAAAATGATGGTGAGACATGCGGTGCTTTATGGTGTATATATACTGTTGGCCATTAAAAGAGAAGCATAATATTAAGTTACATGTTGCAGAGATGAGAATGCTTAATTGGATGAGTGGCTTAATCGTAGAGTATACTTTTCATGTTGATGGTGTAATGGATGGAGACATTATTAGTAGAATTCAATTTGGATGATTGAAGTGGAGGAATGCATCGGGCTTGTTGTGTGACAGAAAAGTCACTCTCAAACTTAAGGAAAATTTCTATAAGATGATAGTGAGAGCTACAATGCTTTATGGTGTAGAATGTTGGCCATTAAAAGAGAAGCATAATATTAAGTTAAGTGTTGTAGAGATGAGGATTCTTAGGTGGATGAGTGGATAAACTCTTAAAGTATACTGTTCATGGAGATGGTGTAATGGATGGAGATATTATTAGCAGAATTCATGTTGGATGGTTGAAGTGGAGGATCCAATTGTAGCTAATGTAACTGAGTTGCAGTTAGAGAAGATTGACTTTGACATTGAGGAGAACATTGAAGATGTTATTAGTGAGGATGTGGTCTTATCAGATGAAAGTGAATCACCTAGTGATTAATAGTTAGGAGGTAAATGTCATCTTATCAGATGAAAGTGAATCACCTAGTGATAATTAGTTAGGAGGTAAATGTAGTATTGTCAGATGAAAGTGAATCACCTAGTGAGAATGTGGTATTGTTAGATGAAAGTGAATCACCTTTTAGCACAAAGTAGATTTTTTTTTTTTTTTTTTTTTACATATTAGCATACATATAATAGTTTCTTTTTGTACATGTTAGTATACATAGAGTAGATTTTTTTTTTTTGCATGTTAGCATACATAGAATAGTTTATTTTTTCACATGATATTATACAAACAATAGATTTTTTTTACATATTAGCAAATATATAATAATTTCTTTTTTATATATTAGTATACAAATAATAGATTATTTTACATGTTAGCATATATATAGTAGTTTCTTTTCTTGCATTTAATTTACTTATTTTCTGCATTTTTATAAATATGCAATTTGTATCTAAATATATTTTTTTATTTTTTGTAGATGTCTTTTGGGGATTATGAGCTCATAGGCAGTCGATCACAAATATTTTCAAGTGCAGGAAGAATACTAGTGGAGGAGCTAGTAGGGATAGAGGTACTGAGAGGACCTGCTCATCACAGCCTCCCACTCATACCCAGCTTAGTCCAGTTTACCTATACCTAATGCAGGGAGTCCTCTATTTTACTCTGCAGACCCTCACTTTTTTTTTTCACCAGACCTTATGCAGATGACTCCCTTTTATTCGTATTACCCCCACCATCTTCTCAGGGATTCCTTGCTACTTATCCCTATCCACCATATTTTTAGCTATTTTACTACCCACCACCCCTCAGTCCTATGCAACTAGACCTTCTACCCTTACTGCAGCTGGACCTTCCATGTAGACTGCCCCAGCACCCTGTAGATGGGCGCATGCTAATTCAGTCAGAGGGTGACACGTACATAAATATGTATGTTTTATATTACACATATATTTAAGAAATAATATTCTTTAACTAAATATTTTATGCAGGATTATCCATCAAAGTAGCTCACATATAAGATACATGATATCATATAAAGCATGTTTGATGCTCCATATGTCTCTTAGAAGAAAATCCCAAACGAAGTGCGTGACATGTGGTTCATGGAGATTGAGGTTAGTAAGTTGTAATATTATTAACATCTCTTCATATTTTATTACATTAATAAAGAACAATTTCTTTCTAGTTTGTTATATACAATAAGATTTCTATTGGTTGCCTGTGCATGGTACTTGACTCAAAATAAATTTAATGAAATACCGAGCAACTCGCATGTTAGACATGTTCACTCGTATAATGAGGACAAGCAAGCTACTAATTTAGATTGGAGAGGGAGTATGGGCAGAGCTCAATATTTCCTAGGGTAGTCCATATTTTACAGTGAAGACGAAGTAGAATAGACAAAATCAAGCTTTTGACATTGGGAGCCCATGTAGCTTAGTCCATACTGGAGGGTCAGTTCCACACACTGAGTATAGATGACGATTAGAAATTTTTTTTTTAATAGACTTTAGTAATATTTTTATTTATGCTTGTTAATATAAGTATATTGTAGAAGGAGATACTTGTTAGAGAATCTATTGCATTTGAGTTACACAATTACACTAATAAGAGTCAGGAGTACCAGCTGTGGGTGGATGAGTGAGCTAGAAGGGCATATGTTAATATACAAGGATATTATGTTTAAATTAATTTTTTATATGACAATTACATGATGATTAATATTATGTTATATTTTGTAGGATGAGTATACAAGGCTTCAAGAGAGTCAAGTTATAGTAGGTGAGGGTTCCTCTGGGAGATCTACAAATATTTCTAACTACCGTACTTGATCGCAAGCAGTAGGTAGAATGCATAATGGACAAGTTTATGAATTAGACTTGCAAGCCTATGCATTTGAGGGATAGTTCTCTTTTTCTACCAGTTACTTTGCAGGTTGCCATGAAAGTTTATATAGCCAATAGGTGGCTAACATGACAGTGGAGTTAGAAAATGTCCGAAAAACACAAGCGAACACAAATATTCTGATACTTGATAAGCTTAGAAGATTGAGAGGACTAAATTGGCTGAAATCAACCTGTTCCGACATCGGCCGACCATGGTGACAAGGACACACTTTAATAGTGTTATGACAATTATAGAATTTTATAGAACAATGTTGTTTATTTGAGATATTGGAATGCTTATCACTGTTTGATTATTATTTCTTCTTATTACTTCTCTTAATTATTACTTGTAAACAGTTTGGATTTGTACTGTTGCAAAGCTCAATAATCGATTGCATGAGCTATTTTTTTATCAATGCTATAGGTTTTTTATGAATTTATGACAAAAATTCCATCACAAACTTTGATACGACGTTCTAGTATCGTGGTTTATGATGGAAATATCCATCACAATTGACAGTGAATTTGCAATAGATTTTCTGCCACAACGTATGATAAATAGTCCGAAGTAAATTGTAACAGAATTTCCATAGTACATCCACCACAAATTTGCCGCAAAATATTTACGACAGATTGGTTCCATCACAAATACTTTTGCAATGTGGGATTTAATGGCGGATTAAGTTCCATCACAAACCAGTATTTGCGATGAATTTATATTGTTTTGCAGTGGATTATTCAACCGCAAAAGGTTAACATTCTTGTTGTGCAATAAATAAATTATAAATTGATAATTACTAATTTTTAAGATGCTTTATTAGAGTGTCAGCTGAAATTTTAAATTGGCTACTCAAATCATAATCTTTTTGGATATATTGCATTAGATAGATTGGCTTTGTTGTTAGAATACACCAGCCTAATATTCTCAAATTGTCCTATAGTAAACTTGACAATAGTGAAGCCAATGGCCCATAGATTGGTACATAGGAAGTTAGCAGGTATGCATATTTTCTTGCTAATGGGGATAAGTTTTAGGCATACAGATGTGTAAGTGGCAGTGGTTAGGGAAAAAATATTGAGCACATAAGAGTAAGTGCTGAGCGCTTAATTATATATAAAAAAGGAAATGAGGTAGAAGGTGGGTGGATTTCTTGGAAGTCCTCGGTTTGGTGATTGAAAGATAAAAGAATCTATAATACTTATGCTGTAATTGTGTTCTAGTTAATTTGGAATGCACTAGTGTGGACTTCAGTGCACCCTGCTAGAAATGAGGTCAACAGAATCCATCAAAACTTCTACCTATTGATCTAATGACTAACAATCATCTAGTTATCAGTCACTTGATCCTCAATCAAATTTCAATATATTCTTCAATCAATCTTCAATCCAAACCTCAATTTAACCTTCAATCATATCCAATCAACTTCAATCTAACCTAGGTTGAGCAATTTATTGATTTTAAAATATATCTTAAAATCATCTTAATTTTATTATTACAATGTTTGATTAAGCTAATTAAAAATTCTTTTAGATATGTTTGGAGTTTTATGCTTTTCTTTTATATATACTCATTCAAAGCCATCATTTATAACATAATTAATTACTAAGATTCAGTTATTAATATTAACTTTAATGATATTATTTGATAAGAATATAATCTCAAAGTTAAGGAAGGTGGGTTCTCATTATTAATATCGTCTAGGAGCCATTATGAATTCACAAGGAATAGTAGAAACTTGTTCAAGTGGAATATACTTTAGTTATTCTAAATATTTTATTTTATTTTATGTTAATTCTCACAAAATATAATCATGTAAAAAGACATAATTAATGCATTAATAATATCCTCTATTCAATAATAGAAATGTACATATCTATTACTTTAATTTCAATTTTTCTAATACTTGTGTCAAAAAAATTTATTTCTACAAATTTAAAATTTCATCAAATATACACTTATTGTGATAGCTTTAAATACTCGCTTTGTTAAAAAATTATGAAAGAATACATAAAATTAAAAAAAGGGGGAATAAATTACTCAAAAACACTTTGAATTCATGATAATCTAACAATAAAATTATTCCTCATTTAATTTTAAGCAGATTGCTTTCTCTATTGATGTTATAAACTCGTACTACATACTGATCTACAACATCACAAGTAGGTAGAATTCAATTTTTTATCATTTTTACAGTAAAAAAAAGGCAAACATTTTGCTTTTTAAAAACTTGAAAGCAAAGCCAGTGTAATCAGAACTCAGCTAATGTTTTGACCACATAAAGCAGAACTGGAAAGCATAAAAAATTGTCATTTCGAGTTTCAGAACAGCATCAAAACATGATTGGATAATAATCTGGGAAGATTATGAAATTAACATAAGAAAAAACTTAAATTCTAGAAAAACCTCCACAACAAGACCCTTTTGAATAATCTCGTGGGCTTTTAATTAGCTCGCTTCCTCAAAACTGGTTTACGTATTTCCTTTTTCCGGGTAACTGAAGACAATCCTAACTGAGTTTTCTCAGTCGCTATGAGGTATAAATCCTTCAACCTGCAAAAACAATATATGTTTGACTGAAACATATAAAGGATTTCAAAAATGTAAGAGATTTGAATACCTTGGCAAGCTGATGAATATAATGATAGCAAATACTCCAGCAATAAGTGGAAAAACGGGAGCTGGTGTGAGTTCCTGCACCGAAAATAAATAAATAATAGTCGGGATGGCAGTGAGAAATGCAGTCTCATATGTCAAAAAGCATAAAACTCTTTCGATACTATGATGTGAAAAAATAAAAGTCATGTAATAGAAAAACACTTTGGCTGGAAAAGGATATATGATAATAACGCAATAGACTCACCATGAAACTGGACCAATTTTTCTTACAGAGACAATCAGAAGATCAGCACTAAGAGGCCTTTAAGACCAGGCTAACGAAATGGTGTTTAATTCTAATTACTATATTAGAGCCTGATTCCAATTTCTCAGCCATTTCGTCCTGTATCTAATCAAAGGAGAACTGTAGAAATAAAGTTACCCTCAGCTGAGTTTTTACCAATTTAAACCTAAGTGAGATGTGACCATTCAACTCTTCAAGTTGGATTGCATATACAACACTTATCAACCCCAGTTGTGGGCTCCAAATATTCATGTTCCTGCCTCTTCACGTCCTTTTTGTCAAAGAGGAGATTTTTAACGAGTTTAGGTGCAGGGATAAATTTTCAACAAGCAGATTGAATTTTTGATAAGACACAATCAGAGATTTCACCCTCATCTTATGAGAACTTTATGATCTAAGGTCTGGTTTCCAATAGGTGTAAGCCCCTATAATTAATTACCCCTCTCGATAACAAGAGAATAATTTCAATTAAGACTAGTCATTAGATAGGTACTGAGTACCCCGCGTATAATAGCAGCAGTTTTAGGGTTTTAAAATTGGATTTGAGATTTTTTTAGATTTAAAATTTATCATGGTATACTTAAAGTGGATGATGGCGGAATGATTATGGCCCGACCAAGATCCCATGATTCCGTTGTCTTGCGCTATCATGGTCCCTAGTCTACTTTGTCAGAAGAGGTAGTCGACCCTACCTGACAAAATAATCATTGCCGACAACCATGAGTTGCATCATCTAAGATTACCTTATAGACTTAAGGTAAATGTTTGTCTAAGAGGACATATTTGAGTTCATCGTAGCTAACAAAGGGCTTTATGCCTTATCCGCTATATCATATTTGATTAATTACTCCAGAATTTAAAGTCATTGGAAAACATATATGCTTTGACCATGATCCTAATTTAGTGGTACCATTTGGCGAATAAACCACCCGGTCAGAGTGCCCCAGTCATAATCATTCATTTGTGGTTCCATTGGTCGGCAAAATCATCGGTTAGAGACACGTGCCACATCTTTAATAGCAGCTGATGGTTTGAGAATAAATACTAATGATATTCTTGACTGGACATTCACTCTTTGTTATTGAAGTGATTTCAAAATTTATCCACTTTGACATTTTGTTGTAGAGGGAAAATAAATTTTTCTTTAAGCATTGGGTGATTATCATCTTGGATGTTTCTTGTGATTATTGAAATTTGAACTTTTATTAAAATTAGAGCTCCTTAATGATTAATTTTGGAAGCATTTAAAAGACAGGACCCCTCTTTAATTGAGATAAATTTTCAATATAGTCATCATCGAGATGACATCAAAGTCACTTTAAACATTTGTATTAACATCACGGTTCATGGATATTTTAAAAGGCAAGGTGTTCTCCAGTTGTGATTTTCTATCAATAAAACTATCATCGGGGTGACGAAATGTTATGGTTTACAATTGCGCAATCTGAGGCGTGCCTTGAGGCACGCCTCAACGCAATTTTTCCCGTTTACACGTCAAAGCTCACACTATGACGATGGAATTTGAGGCGTACGCCTCAATTAAACTGAGGCGTGCCACGCCTCATTTATTCAAGGCGTTTGCCTCTTGACATTAAAAAAAAAATCTAAACCTAATATTTATGTCGCTGGTAAGACTTTGCCCGTGTCATACCTAGCCTCGCCTCTTTGCCTCGCGTAAGCCCACAATTCTTCTTCTTCGCATGGCCTCTCGTCTTCGACCTCGACTGTGACTGCTATGAGGCCTCAACCGCGACTGCTCCCTTGACACCTTGACCTTCCACTTCTTCTTATTTCTTCTGCGCATGGCTCGTTGACTCGTCAAGTCCGCCGGCTCGTCAACTCGTCAGGTCCCCCTCCGCCTTCTCCTTTTTTTTTTGCGACAACATGTGTCATTGTTATCTTTCTTTTATACAACAAACACATTTGTTATCTATCATACACTTTGACTTAATGTATTTTTCATGACCTTTTGATTGTATTAGAATCTTAATGCAATTTCAAAATCAATAATCCACAGTGATTTTAGGAACTATATAAGTGATACCAAAGTTATTATTCATATCTACCTCAATAATTCCTATTAAAGCTTCATTGGGAGTCCTGAACTTCGAATCAAATAAACATATCAATACTTTTACTACTATTCTTTTGCTGAACAATCATTTTATATTATTCACTCATTAGTATATAAAAAAAATTATCATTTTATGTACGCCTCAAAACGCCTCGAGGCTTATGCCTCGCCTCACGAACGAAAAATGCCTCAATACCCGATTACACAATTTTAAACATTGCGAAATGTCACTTGAAAATGGTTGTATTTCATAGGGAATTGGAGGCATTTGAAAGACGGGGTCTCCTTCGTATGAGATTAACTTTCAACGTGGCCATCATCGGGGTTTGTAAGTAATTTTATTCTATTATTTGAATTTTATCAACTTTGTTTGCTTGCTGACAAAGGCTTGGGTTTGACTTCTAACTTTTAGGCTTATCGTATAAGTAGTAGGGTCGAGAATCTGTATTTTAATACATGAATTTTTTTATAAAAGACATTGAAAGCCTAATGTGAATGTATGAAAACAAATATTTTAGCAGACTCACCGAGAGTTTATATTTTTTAGTAGTGATTATTTCTTATAATAGGCTTTGAAGGCCTAATGTAAACGTATGAAACTAAATACTCCAGTTAATTCAACGAGTGTCAATCCGAAGAATTTGTGTTTTAATTAGTGAATCTTCCTAATAAGAGGCCTTGAAGGTTCAATGTGAACATATAAAATAAAATACTCTGGTTGATGTAACGACTGTGTTTATTTGATGATTCAAGTTGTGTCAACTCTAGTCCATTCAAGGAGAATAAATTGGACTTGGACTTAGGTTCACTTTTGACCCGCACATCATTCTCAAGCAAGAGTTTAGGTGTAATGTACTTGTCGGAGCACATGCAGATAGTTTGAGTTTCATTCTAAATAAAGTGTGCACTTTTTAGTGGACTTGCATAACACATTTGCTCACTTTTTAGAGTGGTAGATTTAAAACTTATTGTTATTTTTTAATCCACACACATTCCTCGAACATTATGTGCATACACGTCACGCTCGTTGTGGCTCGTGAGGGTTAAGGGAGGAATTAAGTGCATCTTTCTTATTTTTATTTTTTCTCTTTTTTTAATTTTAAATGCAAAAAATTAATATTAAATAATAATATTTATGCATATTAATCATGATCAATTTGCTCATAAAGTTGTCATCGTTCGCACATGACAATGTTGCCTCAATTCGCACGAGCAAAATTTTAATTTTTGTCGATTGACGACCCTGGCCAATATGTGTCGATCTTAACTGTTTTAGCTGCCCTAAATGCGTCTGCGCTGTTTGTTTCGGGAATGTAGACCATTTTGGCGATTTGGGTTTCGGTCGACGCTGCGCTCTATCGCTTTTGAAAAACACCATGCGCAGGCAACTCAGCCGCGACAATAGTATTTTAGGTCAACAACAGTTAAAGTTCAAGCCCTGAAGCTTGATTTGAAGAATAAGGGTGGCAATAGAAACCTACATGCTTATAAATAGTAAACAAATTATAGATTAAAACGAGCATAAGCTGGATATAGAACTGCTAAATACCAAATACAAGATCCTTTACACTACATTCTAAGCGGTGAATGATATCAGTATATTAAAAATTAAAGCTTCTACTGGTCATAATGAAGCACAAAACGAATTGTGAGATCAATTATGATACTTCAGGTAATCAGACTAGGTAATCTAATTCAAATATACAAGATATGTAAAGTAATCAATCAAGAAATACCTGTTTATAATGATGCTCTACAACATTATATTTGAGAGGACCCACGTGAACTTGGGGTTGTTTTACCAAGTCAACTTCAAGAATCTCAGATTCAAATCTGCCCCTCTTCCATCCAAGGCCTGGTCGAAGCTGCACAAGGTGTCGGCCCTTCGCCAAATCTCGTATCTGGAAGTAATTAGAGATTGGCAGAGGAATGACTGACTCAATCTCAGACGGGTCACTTGCTGACCTTATTTCTATTAAGAGATGGGGCTGTAATGTTTCAAGATTGTATCCTTCCACGTGACCGCTCAAAATGGTCATCTCAGGTTGCTCAAAAACAACAAAGTCAACTCCTACTATATCTTCAGTACCAACCTGAAGAAAAGAGCATAAAATCCAATGAAAATAATTAACGATGGTTTGCACTGCTAACATTTGATTCATCTGCAGTATGATAGCATAACAAAAAATAAAAGAATACTTAAATGAATAATTGTATTCATAGAGTACCAAAAAAAAAAAAATTAATTTCCACCAGAAAAGATGAAAATTTGACAAATTTGTAATAAATTCTTGCGTATCAAAAGCAACAGCAACAGCATTATCAACAATTAATTGGGAATCTCTTTCAAATATTTCTTTAAAATCCACTCCCATCTGCATTTGATGTTAATTCGTGTTAAATATTTATTTCAAAGCCTTTCATGGCAGTTCTGGTGGATCCAGAAATTTTTTTAACGAAGACTATAAATTTATTAAGTTATTGAGGGGCATGAATCTAACGTTTAATGTCGAAAACATCAAATGGCCAGAGTATGTTAATATAAAAAATAAGTTAAAAATTTAGAGAAGTCATGAACTACATAAAATAAAAAAATGATGACTAAATATTTGAAACTACAAATCCAAATCAAAGCACTATCTTAAATATCCACAATTTACTAAATAAGGTATTTTATTTTATACACAATTTACTAAATATTATTACATGCATAAGTTATAGTTTCAAAGAGCAAAAATAAATGATAAGTTATGTATTAAATTAAGGATTAATTAAATTATTAGGAATATATTAATAAATAATAAGAACATATATTGTTATAAGTTTCAACACAATGGAAGTGTAGCTTAAGGAGTGCATAATAAGACTGAAATTATAAATTTCAGATTAGTGCTAATGTTTCTAATTTAATAATAACATTGTTTCTTTTAAATCAAATGCATCAATTGTTATTAATATTTGTTAATTCAACTGCTATTGCAAACTCATTTTTTAATTTAATTCTGTAATATATAAGATTGATAATATTGAAATGAATGATATTTCTTTTAATTTCCATTTTATGAACTTCAAATAATAGAAAATATTCATTTAAAGTAGTTTCTATTTATTTGTTATTAACAGAAAACATCAACTCAGAATATTCTCCATATATTTTTATCATCCTTTACATCATTCATATTATTTAATTTCAATAATTACATGATCTTAAAGTTCTCTCTAACAATCTATAGAAGCGCCTCTTTTAAAATAGAATAATAATTGAATCTTAACGTTATAATATTGTTTATAATCCCTTGCAACACAGATAATATGACTAGTAATCCCTGCCCATTACAATTATATATCTATACTGGCAATTATCTTGCCCAGCCTTAACAACATGTGATGCGAATTATATGATGACTTCACAATTTATGTTGCGATTTGCAACTAAACCACAGATATTGAATCGATTAACACAACCTTGGAGTTATGAAAGTTAATGCGCAGTACTCCCATAACATATAACAAAGTGGAGAAGTAACAAATAGCATCATTGAAAGTAGATAAACACCTATAATTAATATAGATCTAGTCGTTTTTTAAACTCAGGCTGGTAGGTGGAGATCATGATAAGGAGCAAATTATCAAAATGGTTGCTAGTCGTTTTTAAGTCAGTCCGTTTTAGTTGGAGAATTACAGGTGCTCAGTTTAATACTTGGACTCACAAAATATGAGCCACTGCTTTGGATAAAAATTGTCAGAGAAGTTTTTTATGAGCAATTTTCGACCTTTAAGAGTTAATTTCCTTGGTATGAGTTCGTATTATAGAAAGAGTGGTCCTAATAGATCCAAATGCCCTCAGAAAATTTCCCTCTAATTCTCATCTAAATAGCAAAGTTGATAGAAGGATTAAAATGATTCATATTTAGTGGATCGTGGGATCACATTGAGCGCCTAAAAGAACCCAGTTTTAAAATGAACACCTAATCTAACAACCCTTTTTATCAGTTACTCTCACGATTAATTTTAGATTTGGCATCTTTAGTGGTTTAACCATTGACCAAGAAGTTAATACACGCCTTCTCATAGTTCCTACGAATTAATGAAAACTAGTTTAATATGAATGAAGGCCCTAGTTACAATTAGTTGGCCATCAGTTTATTATTGGATAAAAAGCATGAAGTTAATGACTGGTTAGCAAAACGCTTGCCTTAACAGAAAGATGGTCCGGAGAAGACCGCTCAATCCTTGAGCTTCCCAATCCTGGTTCTTCCTTTGTTGCTAATTTTATTGTATAAGTTTTGCCTGGGAGAAGCCCCCTAAGACGGAAACTTCCAGTAACATCCGTTGTTGCTTCCTCATAAAAATCATTAGACTCCGAACGTGCCTCCACATATACGCTTTCCTTTGGCTGGCCAGAGATTAATGTTACAGTGCCCAAGACACTGCAAATAAATGGAAAGCCAACACAGTATATTAAGGTTATACTCACAGAAGCAGGAAGAAGAGAAAATAATCAATGTATGAAGCCAAGTGAAAGTTGGCTTTAGATAGACCAACAAGAGCATTTTAGTACAACAATACAAACAAGAGAAATACTAACAGAGTATTGGTTTCTATATGGAAAATATTTTTGATACGCAAGAACAGACTATGTAACAATTCACCTCTTACCTACAGATGAGGCAAATATTAAAATATTGTTTTCTTTGCTCTAAAAATGGTAAATTCAAATGGACCATTTAACTATCGGTGCATCTAAGAAAATAAAGTAATCCTTTACGAAGCTATGTACTTAATTATTCGTCGCAACTTTCATCATCATATCAGGAAAAACCATGAAGGGGCATGGTGATGCGGACATCGGTACTAAGATTTGGCGCATCTATCACAGGAGGCGTCGTAAATCAACAGCTATTATTTAAATTTTCATTTATGAATTATTTACTAAATTTTAGCTCTTGTTTTATGTATTTTCTGTTTTACCCCTAGGTTAGTTATTTGAGTGTTGTGGCCCAAGGGGCCAATTTTGATTTTTCACAAATTGTGGCCCATATATAGGGCCTTAAGCTATTGTAATGGGATGAAGATCTGAAATTAAAAAAAAAACTGTGTCCACACTTGTGTTCTTCTTGTGAGAGAGCGTTAGTGAGATTCCTATGGAAAGGAATCAGAGTTGTCACCAACCGCAGGATGGGTCCGGGCTCGTGATTTGAAGTCCCTTGGAGAAGGGCAACGGATCACCCGTTAGCCTTCAGAAGAGTCCGAGCCTCGCGGTTTTTAGTTTTCTATCGTTTGTTTCTATCTTTCGTTTTATATTTATCTTTGTCTTGTTCCTTCTTATTGCTTCCCTTAGTCATATTCATCTTCCTCCACCCCATCTTCATTTGGCCACCGGATTCACCTCCACCCGAAATCCCTCATCCCCTCTCCACATCACGGCTAACCCCTCTCAGCCCCTCGGCCAAACCACCATACCAAGCTCCACAAATTTTTCCCCATAGCCGCCGGCCACCTTCACCCGATCCCACCCTCTTGGCCGCCGACCACCTTCCCCCATTAGCTCGTCCACCGCAAGCCACTCTTGTTTGTCTCCATGAATGAGGAGTCAATGTCACCTTAATGCTTGCCTAAATAGTTCAAATAATTTAGGAAATTATTTTCATCCTTTGAAATTCAAATTTTGAATTTCAAATAGTTTCCTAAATTAGAAAGCTATTTTAGGAAAGTATTGAATCTCATTCATGATGTAATTCAAACTTAATTTGGGCAATTTAATTTTGGGCGGTTTTCAAATTTTCAAATTCCACTAATTTGAAATTTGAATTCTTTCATAATTTATCATTCTATTTTTGGAAAGTTACTAAATGAATTTTATTTGAATTTCAAATTCAAATTGGATCTAATTATTTCTTTCCTAAATCCCAAATCCTAAATTAAGCAATCTCAATTAATTGCATTCAATCATT